TTCTTTGGTGGTCCACAGAGTTTATGTAATTGGAAGGCTAAAGCCCTTTTTTGTTGTTTCTTGCGTTTTCATTAGTACAGTAGAAGACTATAAAATTGTGCAGCCAGAAGGGGTTTAACAATTACTGAGTCAACATTTGAAAGCCTCACTCTATTTTATCATTTATGCATGTGCTTTTTAGGAGTTTTACAGCCCTGCAGGCGTTGCTTAAGCAAGGTCCATTGCAGTGGTGGATCTATAACTGCTTTCTTTTATTTTGCTCTCCTTGGTACCATGTGCCATCAGCAAGAGTCACAATTCCACACTCATAAAGAAATTACAGGCTTGAGATGGTATTTTTTGTGGAAGATTCAGGAGTGCTAATTTCAGTTACTAAAATGTTTATCAGCCTTTCTAAGGAGCCTTTGGCAAGTCCCATAACGTGTGACTCAGTTTCCCTTCTGGTAAGCAGTTACTAATCCTGCCTTTCTTTGTGAAATGTTGTGGGTAATTCAGTAAGGAGTGAAGGACACTTGGTGACACAGTCAAAGCAGAAATTCTCTTGCAGCAGGTAGAGGTGTGGCAGGATCTGGGCCATAGCAAGGCTTGGGCAGAAGGCACAGCACCTGTTGTGGAGCACCATCATGTGCAGGAGCAGAGCCTGCAGTGCAAATAGTCCATCCTGGGCAGATAATCCATCCTTGCAAAGCTCTGGGCACAGCTCTCACTGCTGCCTGCTGTTCCCTGAGTTCTCCCAACTCTCTACCATCCCTCATGCCTGCCTGCCTCGTGTGCTCCACACTTGGTGGGACTCTGGGGAAAAGTTTAGAGCTCAGCCAATTCTGATGTTTGTTACCACAAGAGGCAGAGGGATTGCACACAAAGATTACCTTTACAAAGTCTTCATTTGTGCTAGATAGAACTCTTCAGCTTCTCAGAGAGCTGAGAAAAATACCACAGGGTTGAATGGATAACACCTTGTGCCACCACCTTGTCTAACAATTCAGTAGGTTTTTCTGTCATAAAGTGAACTTTGATTGTGCAGTCATAGCAATTAATCTGCCCGAAACTCTAAGATCTGGTGCATGTTGAGCAGGGTATGTGTTGGAAGGGGTGATATTTACAGGCTCTTGCTGGGCTAGGAGATGTGCCTCAGTACCATAAACCCCAGCAGATGCTGTCACTGGTTCTGCTTATCAATCAAAGATAAAAACTACCTCCTGAAAACCCAAATCTATTTGAACATACCGCCTTTAGCATTTAGATATGGGAAATAGCAGGACAAACTGTAGTTGGAGGGGAAGGGAAGAAATGAGGCACACAAAAGGACAGTAGCAGGCAGCCATCTGTTTCTTTTCAGTTTATTATCATTGAGCAAAGGTAGCAGGCTGTGTCTATCTGTGTGTGGGGAATTCCTAGGTGCAAGAGGTGATCAACAAGCTTCTCCTTGCAGTCCCTAGGTAACTGTGTTTGGCTCTTTTTGCCTGGCCCTTCAGTTCCCTTGGGATGTGGAAAGCAGGAATGTGAAGTTACAGTCCTGAACCAATGTGTGGTTATGGTCCTGGATGTGAAGTTATGGTCCCGAACTCCTCCTCTGGAACTGGCTCTTTCTCTGCAGGCATCAGAACAGAGAGGAGAAGTGTTCCTGTCAGGGAAAGCAGGGGTAGGGTGAGGAGAGCAGCCCAGGGGAGAGTCCTGCCGCAGTGGCAGTGCAGGCCTGGATATGCCATGGGGAAATGGCTCCTGCCAGGGCACTGCAGGGATTGCCAGGCAGCCCAGGCTGGGGGATGGCTCCAGAGGGGGCAGGGAGCCAGGCCTTGTGCCCAGGCCTTGTGCCCAGCTCTCACAAGATGGCTCCAGAAGAAGCAGGGAGCCAGGCCATGTGCCCACCCTCTCAGGATGGCGCCAGAGGGAGCAGGGAGCCAGACCTTGTGCCCAACCCTCTCAGGATGGCTCCAGAGGGAGCAGGGAGCCAGGCCATGTGCCCAGCTCTCACAAGATGGCTCCAGAGGGAGCAGGGAGCCAGGCCTTGTGCCCAGGCCTTGTGCCCAGCCCTCTAGGATGGCGCCAGAGGGAGCAGGGAGCCAGGCCTTGTGCCCAGCTCTCACAAGATGGCTCCAGGTGGAGCAGGGAGCCAGGCCTTGTGCCCAGCTCTCACAAGATGGCTCCAGAGGGAGCAGGGAGCCAGGCCTTGTGCCCAAGCCATGTGCCCAGGTCTCTCAGGATGGCTCCAGAGGGAGCAGGGAGCCAGGCCATGTGCCCAGGCCTTGTGCCCAGCCCTCTCAGGGCTGCAGACCCCTTGGATGGAGGTGTGGGATGCTCCCAGTGCCCCCTGAGACCTGGTGCTGAGGGAGGGCAGAGGCAAAGCCAGCAGGATGTTTTTGTTCCTCAGACCTTCCAAGGGCTTGCTTCACTTTCATCTAGTAGTGGGAGGAGTTCTTGCAAACGAGATCAGGCTGTTCTACATATGTTTTGACTCTTCTTGTTTTATGTTTCTTCCATGAAAGAGACTGCAACCAAGTTCTTGTCATTTTTAGATCAATGTTTTGTTAAACTACGACAGCTATCCGTGACAGAGAGCCAAGTAACTTTTGCAGCTGACCACAAAACTGAGTCTGACTTGTGGTGCTTAGTCATTTCTTATATTTTTTTTACATGACATACTCCATGTGTGTATGTGTTTTTGTTCTCTTAAATATAATTAGAGCATTTCTAGGAGTTGTGGTACAGATCAGTCTTCTGTGGCAGGTTAATTTCTTTGATTAATAAGAGAAGAATTAATGAGAAACTCCTCATCACGTTGTGGCTGTTGATGAAACCTCTCTGGTTATACTTTGAACAATTGGGCTATTTTGAGATTGCATGCTCTCTACAGTATTCTCTTCTCTGGTTTACCCATTAGAATTTTAAATGATCCAGTCAACAGAGCTCTTGCTGCCCCTCCAGAGAGTGTCTCCTACAATCCAATAGAAATGATGATTAGGAAATCCTTCATAAAGAAATAAAATACTTATAAAATGTCTTTCAGCCCTCTGAGGTCTGATATAAAATTCAGAAATTCGTAATCCCTTCAAGTTTAGCAAGAGATGGCTATGTTTCATGTTTCTTCTCCTGGAAGGACAGGAGTGCTCCTTGCTGTTTGTTTTTGCTGCTTTCTGCTGTCTAATATTTAGAATTGCTTGTCTCACAAGCTGAGTCAGGCTCTGACCAAGGAACCAAACCTGGGCTAGGTCAGGCTCTCAAAGAGCCATAGCTGGGCTGTGCCTTGCAGGACTCTAGCATTACTAAGTTGACAGTAAATAGATTTTTTTTTCTGAGGAAAAACCGTTGACTTCCATTATATATCTGCAATTAATTTGGAAGAAATACAAATTCAACTTAGTCCTGACTTTTTGACTTCTGACAGGCTGCTTTGGAAATGAGAGCTGAGTTAAAAATGGTGCATCAAAGAGTTGGGTGAAGCTAAATGCCTGGCTAGTTCAGGCGCTTGTTTGAAGGTTCTCCAGCCTTCCTGGAGCTGCTGTGCCTGTAGTGTTATGGAAACCCTTTTCCTTGGATAGACTGAGTGTGCTGCATGAGCTTTTCCTGCAAAAACCAAGAGGATAACTCCTCTTGCGTGGTTTCCATGCTGAAGTGTCAGGGTGGAGACAAAGCACCAGGAGTGTGAAAGGGATTCACAGTGAAAATGAATGTGAGGAATAGGAAAGTTAACCTCGTGTTCCCTAAACTCTGAAAATACAAAGTAGAGCAGATTAGCCTTGTTTCTAACTGTTCCTGAGAAAATCTTTGTGCAGTGACTTACATGAATTTGAACCATTCTTTGAATTGCAGATACAGGGATATCTCTTTGCAGGAAGCATTTCTGTATTTGCATTGTTCTCTTTTCTGTTTTCCTGTGTAACACATCCCAGTGACATTATTAGGCTACATGAAACAGTTGCCATGTGGAAACTGAAAGTTTTTTTAGTTTATTGATCTTTTACAGCCAACAGGAGTAGAATAGAGCAAGGAAACAGAAATCTTTCCTTTCAGGAAGAAGCTCAAAAGAATTTTTTCGACTGGAGCCACTTCATTATCATGCCACATCATTTCATTTTCTTAGCTTTGCAAAAGGCACAGTGCCTGAGATTTTGAAATGTTAGTATTGCTTCCCTGAAAGATTTATTTTTAAACATATGATTGTCAGGAAGAAAGAGCGCTCATGAGCAGGAGTCATCGGGAAAACAAAAACAGTTGGAAAATGGAACACCTTTGTGTTTGTAGAGTCAAACAATTCTGGGGGAGCGAGGTGTTTTGAAGAGGACATTGGAATGAATTGCCCTAGCATGTTGTTCTGGCAGTCTTTAGACAGATTAATTGGCAGCACACAGCAGCCTGTTGCAATCCAGGGTTCACAGTTAGTTCTGACCACACGAGTGATGGACGGGGTGTTAGCAGGGTTGGACAAAACAGTCTGGACAAGAACACAAACTGCTGCCCAAGGATCATGCCTAATTCAGGCTGAACCTTTCCCAAGGCCTGAGTCAGTTTGAACTGTAGGGTGTTTTTTCTTGCCCTATGGGCTGCTTCCTAAAATACTGCCTTGTAAAAAAGGAACAGAGCAAAGCCATCCATGTCTCTGTGCTGGAATTGCAGGCTAGAAATAGAGTGCTACAGTAAATGCATTGCAAAAGAGCATGTGTCACCTAAACCTCAGGCCAGCTTTGCAGTCCCAGCAACACAGAGTTGAAGTATTCTTCAGATGTGCAGCCAGTTTTATCATGCCTAACTAAGCCAATCTTTTCAACACTATGGAGTTTGCTTATCACTAGCTAATGAGCAAACTTTGAAAAGGACTTTATGGTAGAGTCTGTAACCCTGTCTCTTCCAGAAGAAGCATTGTTATTTATTCTTCATACATAGCTCAGTAATCACTTGTGTATAGTTATCTAGCTTCCCTAAAAACCTCCTAAATAATGTCAAAACTTTGGAGTTACAACATTTGTTTTCTTGTTCCAAATCCTGTCATTCTGCCCATATAGGACAAAACAACACTGGAGACCCTGACCCAGCAGCTGGCAGTAAAGCAGAGTGAAGATGGGAAGTTCAGCCACGCAATGATGGATTTCAACATGAGTGGAGATTCTGATGGTCAGTACCAATGATTTTCCTGATTTCCAGGTTTGTGTGTGTGTGCCAACAGGATCTGAGGGAGAATCCAGTGCTTTGGAGGTTCATGAGGAATACAAGCTGTTAGCAATAAATGGCTGTGAAACAAGGCAGGAGGAAGTGATTCATCGTGGGGTGTTTTTAGTCTGGAGATGATTTTTAACCTTCCCTCTGTCCACTGAAGGTCCCAAGATGGGACCAAAAATGTATTTCTGATAGTAAAAGGGACTAAAGAGGCAAATTTATGTGGGGTAAGTGAGATCACACAGGGAAGCCATGAAGAGTAGGCCTGATCCTCCATAAGTGCTGTGTGCTCTGCATCTGTGTGGGCTTTACTGGTTTGATGAAGCAAGCACAATGTTTATTTGTTTCTCTGCTGTTGCATATATTGTTAAGGAGATGTAAGTGCAAAAACAGGCAAGTATGTAAATTTTGCTAGTTAGAGAATTGCTTAAGAAGAAATGCCCAGTATTGCCATCTATCACACCCTTTCTGTCACAGAAACGTGTCACTCTGGTTTTTTAACATTTTCTAAGCCTTCTGATGTTGACATTCTTGTAGTTAACTTTCTCACACAGTTTCTGTAAATAACTCATTGTTTTGCATTCCTTTATAGAAGAAGAGAAAGTTGTTAGACTGTTGGTTTGACCAGTGTCACTGGAGAGGTGGCACTGTCACCCTCCAGTCCACTGCCACTTTTAGAAAACTATAAATGTTAGAATCAGAAAATAAACTCCCCTTTTCCTTCACGTTGAGAACAGCGGTGTGCGCTGGTGTTTTTCGTGTCCTACAGTGACAGAAACATAGAAGAAAGGTGACACAATATGACCAGCATTTTGTAAGCAAGAAAGGATGAAAATAAAAAGTAAACCTGCTTGATAAGCATAGATTTGGTTTATGTAATTAAGCAGGAAAAGATGGCTTAGAAAAGCTGTGTAATACTTTGTGTTTGAAAGCAATGAAAACTCCTTGTTGGGTGTGTGATACCGAATTAACAGAATAAATAAATGTGGCAATGTAGGATGTATCAGCCATTACCTGTTGTGAATGGTGCCTCACGGGGCGTGCAGCAGCCGAGCTGGGTGCTGCAGCAGGAGTGCAGCCCGTGTGCCTTGCCTTGCAGGGAGCGCGGGGGTGTCGGAGTCGCGGATCTACCGGGAGTCGCGCGGGCGCGGCAGCAACGAGCCGCACATCAAGCGCCCCATGAACGCCTTCATGGTGTGGGCCAAGGACGAGCGCAGGAAGATCCTGCAGGCCTTCCCCGACATGCACAACTCCAACATCAGCAAGATCCTAGGTAAGAGTCAGCTGGAGCAGGCTCTGACCGAGCTCAGCCCAGCGCCTGACCGAACGGAATTGCTGCTTTTGTCTCTTGCCTTTCAGTCACCGCACCAAGAACAGCGATGGGAGCTTCCCCTGCGTGCCCAGCAGTGGGGATTAACCACAGCCTGAAATATTCTTTGTAATTACTGAGGTTGTGGCAGTTTTTCCCAGGAGGAGAGGAGCCTGTAGTTCCCAGTATTTCCTTTTTAGACATGGGGGTTACGTTTCTCCTTTTCCAGAGAGCAATAACTTGACCAGACTGCCAAAGCTTCTCCAATAGTGGTTAGCCAGTGCATCTGTCAGTTCTCTCAGGCCCTGCAGATGCATCTCAGCAGGCCCCACAGATTTGTGCACCTGGTTACTCATTCTAGCATTAATTCTCCTATTTAAATATAGATTAGCCTGTTAATGGGGAGGGAGTCATAAAGTTCTTATATTTCTGTAGTGTAGAGCTTTAACGCACTCTTTGTTGGTGGCTGGCTGCTTGAGGGCCCACAATGTAATTGGGAAATCAGTATTTGTCCACTTGTAGAGATTGTATTCTTTTTTAAAGGAGCTGTACCCCCTTTAAATTGCTTCATTAGGGTTCGTGGGTTTTCCTTGGAGAAGAATTAAGAGTGAACTTAGATTCATTTCACAGGCAACCAGCTATCACCCAAAACTGATCTTCTCCTACATTTGGTGGTTCTTCATTCTTTGTACACTGAAAAGAATTTTTTAAAAACCCTGATTTCCATATTATCTGCTCTTCACGTCCCGATTAATATTTGTCTCGAGCATCATCTGCTGAATCTCATACCAAATTCTTCCAACTGGTCAGTGTTTGAACAGATTCTCAGGACCATGTTCTGTCCAAAGTTACTCCTCTGTGCTGTGCTGGATGGTGCAGTAGGTGACTAGTGAGGCTCACTGAGGCCAGTGAATTACTTCTCAGCAGAAAAATCTGCAACCAAAATACAGAGATTGTATTTTTACCAATAAAAACAGCTGCAAGTCCTAAGCATCCCTCAGGCCAGTGGCTAAGCAGGGAACGTGTTTACCTGTGCTGCAGATCTCGCTGATTTTGCAGGCTGCTCAAGAGATGCAGTGCAGTTCTAATGGCAGCATTAACCAGCTGCAGGGCTGGTAAATATGCCAGGTTTAGACTGGTCAGAGGTTTGAGGCTTCCCTGGATTAGAGTGGTATTATGAAAAGTTAGCAGGGGGCAAGTGGGAACGAGATAAATTGGTTGGAGAAGCAAAATGTATTGCCACGGATGGCAGATGTGATGATATTAACCCATGATTTAAAGGGTGGTACGAGATGATTAGATTAGTTATGGGAACAGGATTAGAAGGCTAAATTGGCTGTGTTGATGGCAATAGAACCTTATACTGGTTAAAAGTGATTATACTGGTCAGAGGTGTATGATGTGATTAGCCGGAGGACAGGGCAGTAATAGTTTTGGTCTGGTTCTAAATTGAGAGTAGACCTGGTTAAACCTGTTTTTAAGTAATCAGCCTCAGAAATCTACAAGATCATTCTGAATGGCCCTTTTCATATAGAAAGTACAAAGGCAGCTTGATGTTTTCCCTCTTAACTGATTGTTTTGGATAACAACCTCCGACAGCACGCTGCTAATTCATTCTGCTTAAAACAGGCGCTTGAGCTGGGCTGACATTTTACGCAGTCTCTGGGGATCCTGGTTGACATTTTAAAGGGCTTCTAAGCATTTTATAATACCCTAAAATCTGGTTTTAATAAGCCATTCTGCTGAAATTGTTAACATAAGGAATCACCTTTTACTATTTGGCGCTAGATCAGGGAGATATGGAGACATCTTTTTCTGATTAGATATACAGTAGTTGGAGTAAAATGTGCAAATTCATTACAGATCCTGTTGAGGTGACAGACAGTATAGCTGACTCCAAACTCTCTGTTTTGCTGCCAGATATGGGGAAAAGCAAGGTCTGAGACAGTGAAAGATGATGTTTCTATTTCTTTACAGCATCACATTTGATTTTTTTTTTTTCTCATTCTACGTGTGCAATAGAGAGGGATGTCCTGGCATCTTCCTTCTTGACAGAAACATTACAAAGTTCTTCCCTCAGCTGCAAAAGGCCAGGCTTTTGAAGCCAGCAGGGAGCTGTCTGTTAACTGGCACGGGGTGACCAATTAAATCTCACAGTTCAGCCAGATATTAGGGTGTCCTTATTAGAAAGCCACAATTTCTCCTTCCCATTTTTCCAGCAGCACCACTACAAGTCACAGAGCTTGTTGTCACTCAGAGTAACTTAGATAGAGTTCTACCAGTCCAGGGTCATTCTTATAGTAAAATGAGAGGAGGTGCCCTTCCCAGCACTAGAATTCTCTAGGGATTATGTTTGACACTGTGGTATTATGTTTTGAGCATAAAAATGAGATACACGGATTTGTCACTAAATTCATCTGTGCATACGTTTGTCATCCATCTGTTCACTGCAACTTAAACTTGTGGATAATGGTTTTTTTAGTAAATTGTTAAAAAAGTGCTAAAATGGGACTGCTGGACCCTGTCAATTTAATAATGCATTGTTTAGATATTTCAGTAAATATTTTAATTATTTTCACTGAGAAATCTATGTAAAGATTTTAGGAAAAAAAATTAATTACTAGCTTCAGAAATTCTCTTGGAATGTATACATGTGTTTACATGAATGTGTACACATACCTATACATTATACAAGGGTTTGTCTATGTGAGAATGTTTTTTAACATAAAATCAGCCTGATTCAGGTACTCAGATTGAAAAATGTCAGTCTAATGCACTGAAAGTTAGAGAGTATTGCAAACAGCTGAAAAATCTTGTCAGAGAAACGTGGCTTAAAAGCAGCACGTGTGTGCCTGGAGCACAAGTGTCTGGGCAGGGGTGAGGGCATCTCTCTTGTGCCCTGGACTCAAGGATTTGCCCTCTCCAGATGTGCTGCCAGTCACACACAGCTGTGTGGGCACAGCTCTGGCTGCCCTGGCTCAGCTGAGGGGCAGGAGCTGAGCAGGTGCTGCAGAGCCTTTGAATTTGGGGTTTTTTCCCTAAATACTCTGGCCACCACATCTTTGCCCCTTCTCAGGACAAAGACGTCGCTGTTCATACACGGCTTATCTCTGGATGTGAGGGCAGCTGGTACCAGTTCTTCTCTCTGGAAGCCCAGACTGCAGCATGGAATAAAGATCCAATGGGGAAATGGTGTCAGTAATCAGAACAGGCCTTTCTAGAGGGAATGAAAGTGTTTTCTTTCCTGGGGAAAGGATAACTGTGCTCCTTCTACTGTGAGTATTGGGGGTACAGTGGGATAAGACCAGCCTGAGGGGTAGCATGAGCTGACCGTAAAAAATGAGGAACAAGAGGAAGTCAAGTATGACATATGGCATTATGAACCCATTAAATTGAGAAACTATTCAAACATTTTTCCAGTGGGAAACTTGACTATTTTCCAATAAAGTTTTCTTTCTAGGCCACAGGTTTCACAGTTTGAACTATTCCTGTTATTTGAAATGTATCTTACCCTGAAGCACTTCTGTATTTAATGGAAAAATAAAATGGGGCAACTGATTCCAGAACTTTTACTTTCTGCTCCCATATTATATCCTTTAAGAAATATTAGTTTATAACTTTCAGCAGGCAGTTGAAAACAACTTTGAAGTCTTTACTGTATCCCTATCTCAAATATCTAGGTTAGCATAGTCAGAAACCAGGGCTGCCAGCAATGAAGCCATAGTGCAGCTCCTGGGAGAGATATGCCAGTGCCCAGTGCTTTTCCCTTCATGACACAGTAAATTCTTTCAGTTGGGGCTGGCAGTATTTCCCAGGACTTGGTCTTGGAGTTAAAACCCCACTGACACATCTGGGATAATTTATAGCTTTTAAAGGCATTGCTTTAAGGTCTTTGCAGGCTCTTGTACCTGACTGCAGAGCATTTACAGCCAGTTCCTCTCCTCACCACCAGCCTGGGAGCCAGAAAGACCCAGTGTTTGTCAGAAGGATTAGGCTGTGGACTTGTGCATATCCAGATCTGATGCCTTGACCCAGCTGTGGATCACAGACAGCAGCCCATGGAGTGGGGCCTTCCATGAGCAGGAGCTGTGAGCAGGCATGTGGCCAGGGGAAAGTGTGGGGCCACAGAAGAGCAGACTCTGTGTGTCCATCCCTCCAAAATACACTGCCTCTGTGTGTCCATCCCTCCAAAACACACTGCCTTCTTTCCTGGAACAAAGTGTCAGGGTTGCCATTGTCGGGATCATGGTTTTACTGCCCACCTGAAAGTCTCTGTAAGGCAGATTAATTTCAGTAAAATACAGGGTCAAAATTTCCAGTGCTGCCTCTCTCTGCATCTTGGCCATCCCCTGGAGGTTTATGAGTCAAATACAAACAAGAGCAGAACCCTGTCTAGAAGCTCTGACAGATTCCCAGCCCAAAGCCAAGTGGCCTTGGGTGTCTTCTTCTGGGTGACCTACTTGTTTCCCTGCCTGGCAGCGTTTGGGGACGAGTGGCATCTCATCTCTGTTTTTTCTCATTTTTCTGTGTTCTGGTGGCAGGATCTCGCTGGAAAGCTATGACAAACCTAGAGAAGCAGCCATACTACGAGGAGCAGGCCCGGCTGAGCAAGCAGCACCTGGAGAAGTACCCAGACTACAAGTACAAGCCGCGGCCCAAGCGCACGTGCCTGGTGGACGGCAAGAAGCTGCGCATCGGCGAGTACAAGGCCATCATGCGCAACCGGCGCCAGGAGATGAGGCAGTACTTCAACGTCGGGTAGGGCACCTCCCTCACACCCATCCTTCCAAAAACTAACCAGAATCAGGGGAAATCGTCATTCTTTGTCGTAGTTTATTGGAGAGAGCATTAGGTGTTGCTAACCTAGGAAATGAGAGCTGTGCTGCACAGCAAAGTGTTCCAAGAGGAGGTTGGGCAGCTTTAGGAACCCTATTGCTGTCTCTGTTTTACTCTCAACACCTCAGCCACCTGTCTCATTTCCACTCTGATCGTGAGAAAAAAGGCTTTAAGTTATGAAAGTTATTTCTAAAGAAATGTGCCATGTGGGCACAAGCTCTGCTGCCCAGGAGGGTCCCGTAGTGCAGGGGTTTGCACATGGACACATAGCAGTCGTAGCACATGATGGTCAGGAGAGAAAACTCTGCTGAGATGAAGAACAAAAAGAAAAAGAGCTGTGCAGCACATCCTGTGTAGGAGATGTTCCTGGTGTCCCAGAGGGAATTGTGCATGGCTTTGGGGACAGGGATGCAGATGGAGCCCAGGTCGCTGAGGGCCAGGTTGAAGAAATAAGTCTTCTAGTAATAAGTCGTCTAGTAAAGCCTTACAACTATTAGGAGGCCTCAGAGAGAATATCTGAAGGAATCTGTGGTAGTGCCTCAGGATCCAAAAGCCAAAAAAAGAAGTTTGTATTCAGTAGGATCTGTGGCAAATGGTCTGCAAAAGACTGCTGAGCACACTGAACTTGAGCTGGAATATGGACCTGACTCAGTTGACTGATGCCAAGCTGTGTTCCCATCAAGTCTGCATTGTTCATTTGTCCTGCCTGGTAGTGTCTTACAGTCCAGCAAGTTAAATGCTTTCTGTTGGGCAGAAATTTTAAGGCCAGTTCTCATAAACAGCTAATAGATCAGTTTGACACGATTAGAATAAAAATGTCTAGAAGACTAGCATGTATTTTCCTTCTGCAGATATTCCTTGGTGTTGGTTACAGCAGATCAAAAAGAATCCGAAGTAATCAAATATTCCACGATATTTCTGTATTCACGTGTGAAAATTAAAAGCTACTCAGGGATCAAAAAAACCCCCAGCAAAACCAGCAGCAAGAGCAACCCCCTGAAATAATGGAATTTGTGTTGTGTTTCATCTGAGTTTGGAATCCTTTCGGTATTAACTGGGTTGCACATCTTTTCAGTTAATGGCTGGAAGTAGCAATAAAGGAGAGAGCATGTATCCAGTGACTGTTAAGTGTCAGCAGCCTGTGTTTTAAACAGCTACAGTGTGCATTGTTAGAATAAGCTGCTCAGCAGAGAAATTTGAGCTGCTTAACCCTGTGGTGCTGGCAGGTCCAGTGATCCCAGTGGTAAGCACTGAAACAAACACAGGGAAGTCAGCCAACATTTGGCATCAAGAGATTAAAAAAGAGGAGGAGGCCTCATGGAAAAAGAATAGGTGGCAACAAGAGCCCCCCCAAACGCTGCTTATCTGGTTAATATGCATGCCTCATCATGGGGAAAAATTAACCTTGTAACATTCTGCCTACAGAAATTCAGCTTTCCAAACAGGGCTGACATTGAAATCAAGACATTTCTGGAGGTAATTTGCACTGGGGCAGAACCCAGGGTGAAGTCTTTCTGGCAGCAGCTGGCAGAGTGGCCCGTGGCTGCAGGCACCAGTCACAGCACTGCATTCCTGCTTTAGATGGGTTATTTAGGTGGGTTTGGGTGCACCCACCAGTACAGGTCATTTAGGGCTAAACTCCCAAACACCAGCCCAGCTCCTGCCCGGGCACCACAGAAAGTGCTTGGTTTAGCAGGAGCTGTGGCCCTGCTAGAGGCATCCCAGTGGGAAGGATTGGGAATTTTTTATATTCCCTATTTCAGTGTCCTCATCTGCAGTGGTAGCGTGTCAGGCATGGCCTGCTGAGAGCCCTAATACATTAATGTCTGAGGACTGCTGCAAGATCCTCTGGGCTGGACATCCCATAGAGGTGGGAAAACACTATTCTTAAATTATTTAATATTTGAAAAGCACTCTGAAAAGCACCATTTAAGTGCAAAGTGTTCCTATTGTTAAATATTAAAAGCAATTTAAGTGTGCTGAATCTTGTTGCAGGGATGCTGACTCCAGAAAACAAAAGCCTTCCTCCTGAATTAAGAATAAAATGCAAATTAGATCTGCTCCCTACTTTAAGAGCTGTATCTTCAGCTGAGACAGCTTGGATTGTTTCAGAAACGTGGAAACAGGGGCTCTGTGGAGGGAGGCCTTGCTTGGATGGCAGGCAGGAAGTATCTGAAAATGCAGCAAGCAATTCCAAACAAGTACAAAGCTGCTTGGCAGAAGAGAGCCTTTCAGGATCACTGTGCTGTGTGAGGCTTTCTGTGCAGCCAGGGCACAGGCAGGCAGGGGAACAGGGAAGGGTTTCATTCTTAATTAACAATGTTCATCTCAAGAGACTCTGCCCTGTCTCCTGTGGCAAGGCTTTTCAGTGCAGATGGACACACCGCTGATGACATTACAATGTGCAGCATGTACTGAACAGAATTACTGCAATGGAATTACTTCATGCAGGAAGGCAACAAAAGCAGCATGAATTTTAAACCTCTGGGCTTGTCGGGACTCTGAGGCTTCTCAGGGAAACAAACACTGGTATAACACAGCCAGTGTTCTTGATGCTGAGGGAATTTCTGTGCCCTGGAATAATTCTTCTTTCATTACTGCAGACAGGTTTCCGAGGCTTAGACGCTGTGTAAAGGCATCCTGTAGGAAATTTTCTCAAATGCTCGTGTTGTTTCCTTGCTTTTTATTTATTTTTCAGTAATGCCCGCTTCCGTTTGAAGCCTGCCTTTCCCCAGTTTTACCCACCTTCCTTCAGAGAATCTGCTTTTCACAAGGGCTGCTCCCAGTGGAAACTCTCACCTTCCAGTGGGAGGCCTTTAGTGACCCATTCTGTAAACTCATCCTGGCTCCAGAAAGCCCTCTGTTCCTCTCCCTGGTAATGAGCAGGGCCCTGAAGGAATGTGGAGAAAGCATTGTCTCTGCTTTCTCCTCATCCAGAGGCATTTTCCTGCAGCACCTTCCCAACCCTGTGCAGTCTACCTAGGCCTTGCTGCCTCTCTCCTGTTGGCAGTTTATGGCTAGTTACTGTGACTCTAATGTCCACTCCTGATAGCAGGCTGGATTTTTTAAAAGGAAGCTTTTCAAAATACATGGGTTTTAAGTTGGACCACAGTTGGTCCAATATTTATTTTAGGGCGGCACCAAGCTGATGCAGAAAAGTTTCCCTCACAGGCAGGCAAGCTGAAGCTGTGTAGCTCAGGTACAGCTAGAGATGGGGTTTTCTTATCAGTGGAGTTGATTTGGGTTTGTTTGTGGAGCATGGCTTGGTGAGTTTCCGATGCTGATGCAAGAATTCCTGTGCATGCCCAGGAGTTCCCACTGTTGAGCTCACCCTCCTCGTGGTCCATGCAGCATTCCAACCCCCTGCACTCTCTCCTGTTGTTTTTGCTTTTCAAATTTTTTTGATGTTTATAGTTTTGTAATGAAATTTTTTATGTACTTAATGTAAGTAATTTATTGTTTTGAGTTTTTTTATGGAGGAGGAGAAATTTGCGGGATTGTTGGTTAGTTTAGTATCATTGGAGAGGTGGCACTGTCATTTTTCAATTTACTGTAACTTTTGGAAATCCATAAATATTGGAGTCAGAAATTAAACTTCCCTCCCTTTTACCGTAGAAGGTCGCGTGTCCAGGTTGTTTTATTTCATATCCTCTAACAGCGCTCTCCTCCCAGCAGGCAACAGGCTCAGCTGCCGCTGTTGTGTACTTAATGTAACAATTTGTTGTTTTGTGGTTTTTTTATGGAGGGGGAGAAATTTGTTGGATTGTTGGTTAGTTTAGTGTCATTGGAGAGGTTTTGCTGTTGCTTTTGGAAATCCATGAATATTGGAGTCAGAAATTCAAGTTCCCTCTGTTTTACCGTAGGAAGTTGCATGTCCGTGTAGTTTTGTTTCGTGTCCTCTAACAGCGCTCTCCTCCCAGCAGGCAACAGGCGCAGCTGCTGCTGTTGTGTCATTGGAGAGGTGTTGTTTTTTAGTTTACTGTCGCTTTTGGAAATCCATGAATATTGGAGTCAGAAATTCAAGTTCCCTCCGTTTTACCATAGGAAGTTGCGTATCCGCGTAGTTCCATTTCCCATGCCCTGACATGTGTCTCTCCCGGCAGGCAACAGGCGCAGCTGCCGCTGTTGTGTCATTGGAGAGGTGTTGTTTTTTAGTTTACTGTCGCTTTTGGAAATCCATGAATATTGGAGTCAGAAATTCAAGTTCCCTCTGTTTTACCATAGGAAGTCGAGTGTCCAGGTTGTTCTGTTTGCCATGCCGTAACAGCGCTCTCTGTCCCGGCAGGCAACAGGCGCAGCTGCCGCTGGCCACGGCGGGCGTGGTGTACCCGGGAGCCATCGCCATGGCGGGCATGCCCTCGCCGCACCTGCCCTCGGAGCACTCGAGCGTGTCCAGCAGCCCCGAGCCCGGCCTGCCCGCGCTGCCCGGCGCCTACGGGCCCAAGGGCGACGAGCCGCTCGTCAAGGAGGAGCTGCAGCCCGACGAGGCCAACGGCGACGTCTACGACGACTACGACGAGGAGGAGGAGGACCCTGATGCAGACTATGGCAGTGACAGTGAAAACCACATGGCGGGCCAGGCCAACTGATCGGGGCCGCCGCTCGCCCGCGGGACTCCAAGGAGGAAAGGAAACGGATCAATCAATAAAGCCCCGTCTGGTTTATCCTTGCCAGTGGCCAAGCACATTAACTTTCTCATACACTGACTGTTACTTTAACTGTTAGTCTTAACTAGTTGGGACATCAGCTGACTAATAGACATCAGCCTGCATCAGAGGAAAAAAGGCTCAGAAGAAAGGAAACGAAGACGACGACGACAACAACAGAATGATATAAGCTATGGGTAAAATAATGCCAGTAATTCAGCTGCTATACCCAAGCACTGAAGTCTTACCCGTTGACCTTTTATTATTATTATTTTTTTTTCAAATAAACTTTATGGCTGTTTGTTCTACAATGTTCTAGAAATTCTCACTCAGGTACACAGTGCCAACAAGTGGCTTGTGAATGTGTTTTGTTGTTTTGTGCTACAGTTTAAAGAGAAATAATTTTTTTTTTTTTGGTAATGCACCTGACAGGAAAAAAAAAAGATAAAATTCCTTTTAACCCCCTCTGTCTCCTCCTCCTCTTCTTCCTCTTCCTCCTCCTCCTCCTCCTCCTCCTCCTCCCTGTCAAATCTGGGTCAGAAGTGTGTGTGTGTGCGTGCCTGTGCGCGTGGCTGGCAAGGAAGGAAGTGGGGAGTCTTTCTGTTAACCCCAACAAGCATTTCCTTTCAAGAGAGGACTTCTCTTCATCAGTTGCACACCATACTGAGTCTTTGAGCAAGTGCCAAATTTGTACTAAAGCGCTGAACTAGTCCAATTTGCTTTTTTTAGGTTGGTCTCTTCTCGTTTTGTTTTTCTTTGGCTTTTCATTTGCTTCTTGCTCTGTCTGAAGTTAGGACAGTGTTATATCTTAGACAATCCCTTGAAGAACCTGATATACCAGCAGCTGGTGAGATTAGACATATATTTTTGCTTTTGCTTTTTAAAGGAAACTGTAGGTGCTGTTCTCAGGTGAAAAAAAAAAGAGAGAGAGAGACATAAGAAATTTAGAGAAAAATATTTTATGGTCTTGGATTTTCATGTGTGCGTGTTTATGGTACTAATAAGAATAATCTTGGACTATCATGAGCAAAAAGCATGTTCCAGAATGAAGTCCTGCACCCTCCAAGGGACTTGGTCTGTAAGAAACCTTGACTTTTAGTTTGCACTTCAAGTGGCAGCATAAACAACATAAAAGGCTCGTCCAAAATGGTGTTTGTTCTGCACGGGACACTGGAAACATTACCAAGTGCTGAGCATAATTAAGCTACCACCACTTGGGCCCAGTCCTGATGAACTCATCCCTTCAGGGTGGCTGAGTGCTGATTTCTGATTCAAAAGGCAATTTTTTTTTCACTGACTTCTTTTTCTCCTGTGCACTGGTGGAAATCCCTCTTTCACAAATGCAATGTTTGTGTGGGAAGGAAGGCTGATGGCTGTGAGGAGATTTCCAAATTCCAGGTGGGGTTACAGGAACTCGGTGCAGTGCTGAATTTCCCTCACTGCTGCCTGTCACAGCTGAAATGTCATTCTCTGTGCTGGACTATTCCCATTCTTGTTGTGGAGCACTGCCATGGCTTGGGCAGCTCTGCTGCTTCCTCAGCGTGAGGAAGGGCCTGGGAGCTGCTCTGGGAGGCCTTGGCATCGTGCTGGGGCAAACCCTCCTCCGAATTGTTTCTTCAGCTGAGGACGGCAGCTCTGTGCGCCTCGCAGTAAAGCCCTGTCCCAGAGGGAGCTGCAGTGCTGTTGTCATCCCCTCTGCCCTGTACAGCCAGCCCCGCACCGCTCAGGGGCACCGAGAGCCCAGCCAGGCACCCGCAGGGCCCTGTCAGCGCTGCTTGGCAGCCCTGGCTTCGCAATCAGTCCCTCAGTCAGGCAGATCCAGCCCTTGGTGCCAGGTGCAGGACCATGAACAGGACAGCTGGGAGGGGGGATGCCTTTCTTTGCCTCTGCAATCCCACTTGAAGTGTAACCTGACCTCTGCAGACCTGTGCAAAGCAAAAAGCAAATGCCATCGAACACTTAGGACAATACTCCCATGTTTGGGCATGTGACAGTTGCACCCTGCTACATCTCTTTTCTTTTTCTCTGTTTTCCTCATTTTGATTTCCACCTCTGCTTTGAAAAATTCTTTTCTGTTTTCTCTCTCTCAGAAGATTTGCTCTGAAATTATGCTTGGAGTAGCTGATCATATCCTCCGTGTCAGAGAGGGTTCTTTTCTGTTTGTATTTTATGACTGTGTTGGGGTTTTTTTTTTTCAGTTGAACTGCCTCTTCTTGCTAGTGTTGAATGGTAATTATAATAATAATAATAATGGTCAGCTGTTCCCAGATTAGTAAATTATGTATAATTTATTTACATCCCTCCCCTTTTTTAACTTTATTTTATTCTGTTCTAATTTGGCAGTGCAGCAAATGAAGCTGTTAGGCTATTTAAAATGGATACCCCTCCCCACCTTACCTTTTTATATATATATAAATATATATATATATATACATATGAAAACAAATCGCTTCTTCTTCTGCTCACACCATTTCTCTTTCTTTTATTTTAATTTTGGCCCCAGCCATGTCAACTTCTGATGTTTATTATGATGGAGTGAATTAATGGGAGTGTTGTTTTCAATCTTAATTAACTTCTGCTCTCTCATCACTCATTTTAGTTATTTAATTACACCAGTCATCTAGAGCCAATTTTTTTGAAGCACTCTGTTTGGATAAGAAGGAAGAAAAAAAAATAGACAATTGTTTTTATATCATTACTATGTACAATGTGAAAACAGATATTTGCTCCTTTTTATTTTTATTTTTTTTTTAACTTTCAAATTCGTTCCCTGTCTTTGTGAACAAATGACTTCTGACTCTCGTGGGTTCGCCACACATTTGCTGGATGCTTGATTTCCACCACAGCTGAGCTGAGAGACTCTCTGGTTTAACTGTGTCACTGTGGGCCACTTTGTTTTAGCTCCAGGTAGGTGCCAGCGGGGCTTGCAGCGAGCGAGGGCTCGGTGGGAAGGGGTCCCTGGGCTTCGGTGGGACCAAGCTGCAGCCCTGGATGCCCTGGGAGAGGCTGCTGGGGGCACCAGGGCTGGGCAGTGCCAGCTGTGCCCAGCCTGGTGTGCCCAGCTTGCTGTCCCTGGGCTCCAAGGATGGGCAGGGATGGGCAGTGCCCGCTGTCCCCAGCCCGGTGTCCCCAGCCTGGTGTCCTTGGCACAGTGGGACAGTTCCTGCTGTCCCCAGCCTGGTGTCCCCAGCCTGGTGTCCCTGGCACCGTGGTGTCACACAAAGCCCTCCCCATCTCTCCCAGCTGCCCCAGCCAGGGCTGGCAACTCCGTGCGCATTCCCTTGGAGAGGCTGTGCCCAGCCTGCCCTTCCCTGGGGCTGTAGCAGACTGTCCCCCTCCTCCACCTTTGGGATGTTGAAAACGATGCAGAAAAATGGTAAAAAGTAAAAAAAAAAATAAAGGGGCCAAAAGATGAAGACATAGATTTTTCGGAAATGGCTCTGGGGTTCCAAACCAGCAAAATGCTTTTTATGCCCGTGCTAATGTTTTCTGAGGTCCAAGGATGAGCACCCACATGTCCTTCAGCAGTAGAAGATCAGATTTGAAAATAGGGTACTGTCTGTCCCTCTTGACTTTTCTGGGGGAAAAAACGCTAAAAAACAAAAAAGCAAAATATGCATTTATAAAAATTGTCTTCTTTCTTTTTTTTTTTTTTTTTTCCCTGGGCTCTGTGCCCTGGAGCACGTAGAAAAACCAGGTTAGAAGAGATGAGGATTTATTAACCTAGAAGCTCACGGAGGCCCTGATGCCAGGGTGGGCTCTGCTCCCCTGTTCCCTGGGAGCTGGAGAGCCAGGAGGGGATCAGGCACCTCCTCCTGGATGGGGGACGCCACCATGCACTCTGGGAGCTTGAGAAAAAGCATCTCCAGCAGTGGGGAAAAGGGGAAAAGGAAGGGAAAAAACTGAGGCACTTGCTTCCAAGCTCAATTAAATAACACAGAGTATATCCTTTTTTCCATTTATTCATGCCTTATATTAGTAAAATAGGATTTTTAAGTGCATTTAACATCTTTATCTAACCGTTCCGCTGTATTAATCAGGCCCCCAGAAAAGAACACTAGCTATTATTATAGCATTTAATTAGTTTTGTAACCAAATCCTCTTATTATGAATGCATATGGAAGAAATTCTTTCTTCGAAGACATTATTTCAAAGATTTGGTTACTGCAGCAGACTGTCTTTAATTAAATCATTTTTTAGAAAGTAAATTGTCTTTAACCTTTTTACAGCACATTTTCAGAGCTTTTTCTTTTTAATCCAAAGAGATGAGCTGTTATTGTCCCCGAAGAAGCCTCTGACACCGCGTTTGTAGCATCAGAAGCAGTGAGACTCCGTGGGGCTGAGCAGGGATCCGTGTGCTGCCAGAGGGGCAGCTGGGGCAGGTGTGGGGCACAGGAACCCTTGGTGACCACTGCTGTAGAACCACCCTCCATCCTGCAGAGAACTCTGCCGTTCACTCAGTGTATCCTCAATTCACAGGGCACGGGCTGTCTGTTTAGCTTGGTTTATATTTACATTTTTTCGACTTTATCTTAACTTGTCAGTTTCCCAGATTGAAGAACGTGTCAAGTTCGTTTTTTCTACTGACTGATTTCTCTACTCCCCAGTGTTTTTTGTCACTGGTTTGCTGAAACAGTATTTATATAGCTCCATTGGCTCTAAAGCTCTTACTCCTTCTAACGTTTTGGATTTTACAAGTGAAATGAAAATAGAAAAGAAATAGAGACAATCAAATGCCTGGAGCTTAAAACAAAGTATGTGCAACCTACCATCTCACTTGAAATTTAATAAAAGAAATAATTATGTAAATATAACATAGAGTTATAGATTTATATTTTGTTCATAACACATAGTGTAATATAAGTTGTATATTTTCATGTTTTGGTTTTATGTTATCATTCATGCCACAATAAATGAAAAAAAACCAGGAGTTGATGTACTCTTTAAAAAAAATATGATGTGGATCGCCACCATCCTGGGATTTTGGTTTTGGTTTTTGGGTTTTTTGTTTCTTTTGCATTCCCCTTTTTCAGTATTACTGCCCTGCAAGGCACCAATAAAACAGCAAATGTGTTCTTTACCTATCCTGTGGTCTGTTTCCCACTTCTTGCAGCACAGGCCGTGCTGGCCAACCTTCCTGCCAGGAGAGCAAAACAGCTGGGCTCCAGCAGCAGAAAATGAGATTTGGACTCAGATTAGCAGGCTGCTCCAGGACTGAAGAATTTCATCAAAGCACAGGGCAGAAATGACCCCACCTTTCAAACCCTGTGTCAGAGCAGAGAGGAGCTGGTCCTGAGCAGAGTGGCCAGGGCAGAGGGCAGGACGATGGGCAGGGTGATGGGCAGGGGTTTGAAACTGCCCAGGCTGGGCTCTCCCTGAGCCTGCTGTGCCCAGGGAATACCCAATGATAAACAGGGACACCGAGCCACAGAAAAAATAGCTCTGCTCAGAGTTAGTCACAATGTCCCAACATGCTGCCTAAACAGTTCATGGAGTTTTGACAGCAGCAT